TTATTATTATTATTATTGTTGTTGTTGTTGTTATTATTATCCTATTCATGAGTTGGTATGCATATATAAATTAAATAAATAATTTTTGCATTTGTGTTTCTCGTTCAAGCTTTTTCCTCAAATCCGAATCCGCATATACTACGTATAAAACCATATGCTGATAGAGTTTCTGCTGCACGTAAATCGCGACGCCTTTTGGTTCTCGAGAACCAAAATTTGAGAGAATTATTACTGTGGAAATAGTTGTGAAATTCTAATGGCCATGAAAGATAAAGAGAGTTGTAGTAGTCGAGTGGAGGAATTGGTAGCGACCAAGAACAGCCGACACTGGAAGAAGGTGGAGGTGTACAATGAGGTGCTGCGCCGGCTCAAGGATTTGAAGCACCCCGAGGCGCAAGAGCCGGACTTCGACGATCAACTCTGGGCTCACTTCAACCGCCTCCCCGCCAGGTCATCTTTACCTTCTTTTTTAACAATCTCACCCTACCCTACCCTGCCCTACTTTAGTCTTCCTTCCCTACTCCACAAATTTATTATATATCTATGAATTTTTGTATACAATATACTTGTTCAGTTGTTTGTCTTGGTTCGTCTATGTAATGTGTGAATGTATTTCTCTAAGTTGTTCCAAGATTTTTATTTTTATTTTATTTATTTATTTATTTGGTTTATTCCTTGCTTCTTATGTTTTAGGATGCTTTTTTGGAGTGACAGATTCAGATTTCTAGTGTTATGAGGTCTTGTTTTATTTAATCCATTATAGATTAAATGTGTTGATTATGATGTAAATTCTTTCAACTAGAGGTACACGGCAAGCACGCAAATCAATCTGATTATTATCAATTTCTTGTCTTGCTTGTTGAATATAATTGTTCTCATTCTCCCTACCTTTGTAAGGGTGTGTCTCAATAATGTTTACGGTAATAGCGTTTGATGCTTCGATGTTTCTGGAATGTAGGTATGCGATGGATGTGAATGTGGAAAAGGCAGAAGATGTTATCACACACAAGCGGTTGCTGCATCTGGCATGTAATCTTGATAATAGGCCTGCATTTGAAGTCCGGCTTCTCCAGGTGAGTTGATTTATAGGACCTCCAACTCAATTGTTACGGATTAGCCTCTCTTTTTTTTTTTCAAAATTCCCTTGCTGTTATTGAATTGTGCATGTGGGGATTTTCAATAGTTACCTCTGTGTCTTGCTAATGCCCCGTCCTATTTCTCTTTGTGGGCTTTTAAGGAGATGTTTAAAGACATTAGAAGCTGAAATCCTGATGTCATTGTTTTTGGGTAGACTGCATAAGGGGAAAAAAAGAAAATAAGGCGGCATATTTGAAACTATGGCTCCCATCAGATCAAAAAACTGTCTAGGACGGGTCAATACTCTTTCCACCAATCTACCTATCCAATTCGAATAATAGGTAATAATAACAAGTAACAAAATGGTATCATACTTGTGGACGGTTCGTTGACAAGTAATAAAGTGAAAATTGTAAAATTTCGAGTATCGTTCCCACGAGGATTGATTTAACTTGAGTTCTATTATTGCGACCTTAACCGAATCTATTAAACTCAATTTGATTATTTTT